TTTTCCTGTTTATCTTCTGTTAATAAATCCATAACACAAACAGCTTTTCTGACATTATTTAAAACATTAGATAGATTATATAAACTGTAAAATATTAATAATAATTGTGTTGATATACTGTAATTGCTAATAGTTTTAATGATTTCTACATCGTCAGTCCTTTTTCCTGCTCTGTTGTCAACATGTACAGTAATGGGAAATCCAGTCTTGACCATTTAGCTTTAGCCGTTAGCTTCTCCAGCCGATCACACGGTTACCTGGTTTTTGCACACTCCAGTTCTGTAGAACCTCCTTGGTTTTTATTTACTGTGAAAATTAATGAAAATAAAACTTAATTAAATAATTATTGAAATGTTTCCTGTCTTCTCTGTAAGAGTGTTCACCGCCCTGGAAATTATTCTACAGGAACTTTTAATACTCGGTTGATAAAGAAAGAGGTCTTTATGTTCTGATTATCTTTTAGTTTTTATTTCATTTGGTCAAATTTGACACTGTCAATACACAGCATTCCTCAACAGAACTGATTAAATCAGTGGAGATCTGGATCACCATCAGGATGCAGGATTATTTTTTTAAACCTTCCTTAACTGGTTGTCTGGTTAGGTGTTCAATAATCAGATTATTTATCTTAGCTGAATTCACGTGGCTGAGTTACATGGAGCTTTGACCCAAATGAGAAGGAGAATAAGCCTAATCAAAATTTAAAAAGCAGTAAAATCAACACACAACACCAATGAAATAACACTAAGGATTTAAGAAAGACATGAGTGGTAAAAAAAAAAACTTGGGAGTGTTGAATAAACAAGATAAACAGAATAAACAATGAGTTATTGACACTAAAAGAACCCTTCAGACAGAAAGCTTTAGGATTTATCTACTCAAGAATTTAGTCTCAGATTCTCTGCTGGATTTGTTGTGGACTCGTCTCCAGCTCCTTCTTCTTCTCTCTTCCTGCTTTATGTTCAACAGATACACTGCTGATCACGACAGAAGATCGTCATCACACCATGATGAAAACATACACGTTGCTGGAGCCGAATCCACCGGCTTGTGTTTTTGAAATCATGATGCATCACAGTGAGGTTGGAGGTGTTTCTCACAGAAAGAAACTAAACAGACCAGACAGGACTTTCAGCTTCCTCTCAGAGCAGCCTTCACAAGATCAAGTTCAGCTCCGGCTGGAGCAACGTCTTCTTTAGCTCCACTAATGTGATATTTTTCTTCAACGCAGGCCTTGATGGGAATTTCTGCTGACACTGAGGGCAGCTGCGGTCCTTTTTCTGATTCTCCGAATCCCAGCAGGTGTTAAAACATTTCATACTGTGCTCTGCTCACTCAGGAACTGTAACATTAAATACTGTAATATTTTTTATAAAACTTCAGAGATGAAATATTAGAGGACAGCACAAAATCTGATTTGGATTGAAGGGAAGTTTTCAAATAAAAAGTTTTATAAGAAGTTCAGTGTCACAAAATTTAAATTAGAAAATATATAAATGACATATTTGGTCACATGATAAAAACGACCTTTTGATGTTTAGTAAAAAATACAGCGGGTAAAATAAGTATTGAACACGTCACCATTTTTCTCAGTAAATATATTACTAGTGGTGCTAATGACATGAAATTTTCACCAGATGTCGGTAACAACACAAGTGATCCATACATACAAAGAAATCAAACCATAAATGTCCAGAAATGAAGTTATTTGTAATAATGTGGAATGGCACAGGGAAAAAGTATTGAACACATGAAGAAAGGGAGGTGTAAAAGGCATGGAAAGCCAAGACACCAGCTGAACTCTCTCAGTAATTTGAAAGCAAGACTGCCCCTTGTCAGTGCAAGTTAATATCAGCTGGTTCAGTCCCAAATGATGGCCAGGTATCACACAAGAACCATCTGATGATGGGTAAAAGTAAAGAGCTCTCTCAAGACCTTCACAACCTTATTGTTGCAAAGCATAATGATGGCATCGGTTACAGAAGAATGTCTAAACTTCTGAAGGTTCCAGTGAGCACTGTTGGGGCCATAATTCAGAAGTGGAAAGAACATTATTTCACCATAAACCGACCACGACCAGGTGCTCCTCACAAGATTTCTGACAGAGGAGTGAAAAGAATTATCAGAAGAGTTGTCCGAGAGCCAAGGACCACTTGTGGAGAGCTTCAGAAAGACCTGGAATTAGCAGGTATGTTTGTTTCAAAGAAAACAATAAGTAATGCACTGAACCACCATGGCCTGTATGCACGCTCACCACGCAAGACTCCACTGCTGAAGAAACAGCATGTTGAAGCTCCTTTAAAGTTTGCTGCACAACATTTAAACAAGCCTGTGTAATACTGGGAGAATATAGTCTGGTCAGATGAGACCAACATTGAACTGTTTGGATGCCAGAATACACATCATGTTTGGAGGTCAAATGGCACTGCACATCAGCCCAAAAACACCATACCAACAGTGAAGTTTGGAGGTGGGAACATCATGGTGTGGGGCTGTTTTTCAGCATATGGTACTGGCAAACTTCAAATAATTGAAGGAAGGATGAGTGGAAAAATGTACAGAGACATTCTTGATAAAAATCTGCTTCCACCAGGATGATGAAGATGAAACGTGGCTGGACATTTCAGCAAGACAATGAGCCCAAACACAAAGTCAAGGAAACTCTCAGTTGGTTTCAGAGAAAGAAACTAAAGCTGCTGGAATGGCCCAGCCAATCACCTGACCTGAATCCAACAGAAAATCTATGGAAAGAACTAAAGATCAGAGTTCATAGAAGAGGTCCACGAAACCTTCAAGATTTGAAGACTGTTTGTGTGGAAGAATGGGCCAAAATCACACCTGAGCAATGCATGCCACTAGTTTCTCCTTACAGGAGGCGTCTTGAAGCTGTCATTGCCAACAAAGGCTTTTGTACAAAGTGTTAGATAAATTTCAGTAAGTGTGTTCAATACTTTTTCCCTGTGCCATTCCACATTATTACAAATAACTTCATTTCTGGACATTTATGCTTTGATTTCTTTGTATGTATGGATCACTTGGGTTGTTACCGACATCTGGTGAAAATTTCATGTCATTAGCACCTCTAGTAATATATTTACTGAGAAAAATGTTGACGTGTTCAATACTTATTTTACCCGCTGTATAATATGATTTAGAATTTTTAAATCCTGAGAGAAGTCAGAGCAACAACAAAAATTAATACGCCACATAATGATGTAATGTTAAACATCTTATCAAGAAGGTTGTGGCTGCACACATCAGGGTACATACATATAACAGTGCTTAATACTGTGATGACGATGATAAATGAACAAATACTCAAGGAGTGTTGATGTCTTTCTGTTCTGGGTTCAGAGCAAAATAAACAACAGTGTTGTATAAAGTACCTCAAAGTTATACTTGAGTAAAAGTACAAGTATCTTATCATAAAAATACTTTGGTAAAAGTTAAAATCTTCTCTAAAAATATTACTTGAGTAAAAGTCTTAAAGTATCTGATATTTTTTGTACTTAAATATCAAAAGTAAATTTCTGACATAAAATCTACTTCAGTATTAAAAGTAAAAGTACTGAGTAAAAGTGAGCAGTTAGATTTTCCAAAATGACATTTATTGGGAGGTGACTTCTCCAAAAAATATTTTTTCTAACAGCGTGCAGCTATGATGAGTTGTGTACAAGTTAACAGTGTGTCAGAATGGTATATATTTATACTTCTCATCCAACCACAATTACATTCACTCTTTCCAGGAGACATTTTATCAGGATAGTATTTTTAAGTAATAACAACTCTGAATAAAATAGGAGTAACGACTTTCTACTTCTTACCTTTTGAAAAAATGTTGTGAGTAGAAAGTACAGATAATTGTGTAAAAATGTAGTGAGTAAAAGTAAAAAGTATTCTGAAAAGAATTACTCAAGTAAAGTACAGATAACCAAAATTTCTACTTAAGTACAGTAACAAAGTACTTTGTACTTAGTTACATTACAACCCTGATAAACAATTAATGCATTATTTTCATCCCAACATGATAGTTTTATTTGAAAAAAGTGCAACTGGACAACAAACTGCATGCAGTTGGCTACATTTTCCTAATGAATTTAAAATTTTGTCCCCAAAATCATTTTTCTGATGCTCTAAAAACGTTCAGTACGAGAAAGGGAGCAGAAACATTATGAGATCCTGCCTGTCTGCATGTGAGGTATATAACATACCTGGTATGTACACAAAAACAGTTTATATTCAGAAGTATCCACTTATACATGCATATCTGCTTAAATATAAAGTACGCATAGATGTAGTAGCATACTACATATTGTATCTGCTGTGGTGTTTCAAAAGGTTTTCCTTCAACTAAATACTTTTAAAACTCATCAGGTACTGTCTGTTAGCAAAAGTGAAGGTGGGCCAAAATGTTTTGCTCCCATCTGTGTATTCATGTGTCTGTCTGTTAGCAAAATATCTCATGTACCACTGAAGAGGTTTTTTTAACCTTTCAGGAAGTTTGAAGTCAGTTCAATTCAGCTGCCACCATAGATGTCATCAACATCACATAAACAGCTGCAACTCAGTCAAAAGTACAGCTACTGAGTTAGAATTTGAGGTGGTAGTAGCTGAGAGTCGTTGGGTCGTTTGACCCAAACAAATAAAACTTTAATGCCCTGCACTGTGGCTAAAACTACAAAACAAGACTCCTCAGAAAATACAGCTGACAGGAAGTGGAGATCCAGTCTAAAACCTGACCTGCAGCTCCCCCTGGTGGCACAACTAAGCAATGCAACAACAATGTGGTCCAGCTGTTACTGGGTTAAACCCACAAACCCACCAATGATGAAGTGTTTACCAGTAATTAAACTTACACTACTTCTTCACCAGTGTGTGTTAACAGGTGTAAAAATTAGTAAAACATTTTGTTTACCCAGTAAAAAAAATCTATCAAACAAGTCCCTTCCTCGTTGTTTTGTTGCAGCAGTAGGAATTGAATCAAAAAACAGAAAAAAAAACACATTTCCAGGAATTTAAAACTGTTTTAGTGCCTCACAAATAAAGATATTTCACAATCAGGATTAAAAAAAAAGTCAGACACAAACAGCTCCTGCGGCCGGGCCAATGAATGAACAGAACTGATGTAAGTAGGCGTGGTTGTAAAAATTCAGGGACCAATAGAATCACGGTAACCGTGTGAACCTGTGAGAGTGACGAGTGTTTGGACCAATCACAGCGCTCCCTGAAGGACAACCACTGAAGGGAGGGCTCGAGCGCACGCAGCTACGTCGAAGAAGAGGAGGGCAGAAGCCGAATGGTGGAGCTGAACATGGCGGATGGAGACAGTGGGAGTGAGCGCGGTGGAAGTAGCGGCGGAGGAGGCGGCTTCCAGCACCCTCAGAGGGACCAGGAGACCCAGGAGCTGGCGTCCAAGCGCCTTGACATCCAGAACAAGCGCTTCTACCTGGACGTCAAGCAGAACAGCAAGGGCAGGTTCATCAAGATCGCCGAGGTGGGGGCCGGGGGCTCCAAAAGTCGCTTGACCCTCTCGCTCTCGGTGGCGGCGGAGTTCCGTGACTACCTCGGGGATTTCATCGAGCACTACGCCCAGCTGGGGCCTAGCACTCCGGAGCAGATAGCTCAGTCCACCGCGGGGGAGGACGGCGGGCCGAGGCGAGCCCTGAAGAGCGAGTTTCTCGTCCGGGAAAACCGTAAATACTATCTGGACTTGAAGGAGAACCAGCGGGGTCGGTTCCTGCGGATCCGGCAGACCGTAAACCGCGGACCTGGCTTTGGAGTCGGGGGCCCTGTGGGCGGCATGCTGGCCGGCCAGACCATTGCCCTTCCGGCGCAGGGGCTGATCGAGTTCAGGGACGCCCTGGCTAAACTCATCGACGACTACGGCGGAGACGACGAGGAGCTGGCCGGGGGCTCGGCCGCGGGGGGCTACAGCGAGCTCCCCGAGGGCACCTCCATCATGGTGGACTCCAAGCGGTTCTTCTTCGACGTGGGCTCCAACAAGTACGGCGTGTTCCTGCGCGTGAGCGAGGTGAAGCCCAGCTACAGGAACTCTATCACCGTCCCGTTCAAAGCCTGGAGCAAGTTCGGAGGGGCGTTCAGCAGGTACGCCGAGGAGATGAAGGAGATCCAGGAGAGGCAGAGGGACAAGATGTACGAGAGGAGAGAGGAGTCCGAGGGGGACGACGTGGACGACGACTGACTGAGTCCAGCAGCTGGTGGTCCAGCTTCCAGGACACTTTAGGGGTATTTTGCATAAAAGAGGGAGCAGTGCATGACAAATCTTAGCCTACTAAAAGTATTGTGGCGTTAAAAAAAAGTACATGTACAAGGATTTATTGGTGTTTAAAAAAGTTTATTAGGTGGAGAGTTGGAGTTTGAGTCTCTGAAAGTGAAACATTTCTAATTGGTGAGAAAACAGAGTGAGTTACAAAAAGGAGAAAAAACAGCAAATTGTTTTGTAAAAGTAGAAAATCCAAACTGTTTCCTGTTTGCAGCCTAGGTTCTGTTCAGAGCAGAGACCTGGTCCGGTCCAGTCCAGGTCTCTCTCATTGGGGGGGCCAGTTTGTGGGATTCTTGTAAGTGGGTTGGAGGAATCTGAGCACAGAATAGATGGACAGACGGACAGCTGTCACACATCTGCAGGCCGTTAATCGAAAAGATTACCCAAAATGTCAGGGGGGGGGGGGGGGATTATCTGCCAGGCCAATCCAGGGGCTGATGGATGAAATGAAAGCTTTGACTCCAGCAGTCAGTGACAGCTCAGCTCAGCTGCTTTATGTTATACATACAATCTGAGAGGCGCAGAGGTCACTCGGTGCGTTTTCACACCGGTTGTTTGAGAACGATACGGAGCAGACCCCTCCTGGGACACGACACGTTTTATTACAGGACTTAATATTCCCCACAGAACCAGGGTCCAAATGTGTGGCAGTGGGCCGGAGAGCCCAGGCCAGGAGCTTTCAGACCCGTCACAACCCGGGACACAAACCCACTGATGGACGCTTTCTTTCCTTTTTCTTCTTTTGTTTCAAAAGAGAACTATATTAAAAATTAAACTGTACCTATAGAAAATATATCAGTGAGCAAACCAGCAGAAGATATTTTCAGATACATATAAAAACCAAAATGTATTGTCTAAAGAGATTTCAAGAGTTAAAATAAAAAATATTATTAATTTCCTAAAACAAAGATGACTCCAACTGCAGATTATTTTTCATCTTGTGCCTCCCAGAGTTAAACTTATTAAAATAATTTGAAAACATTCACTGTTGTCATTTAAACCTTTGTTTTTCTCTTCTACATTTAATATTACTGCCTTATTCAGGTGATGCTGTAAACTTTCTGATCCACATTACCATAGATAGACCTGGCCCAGATTATCACAGGTAATCTTGGACCTGTGCTGGGTTCTTCAGTCCATGGCTCCCTGAGTGCACGAGTGAGAAAAACAGAAAATTAGATGTAATTTATAATCATATCAGTGATTATGAATTCATTTTTTAAACTTTTCTTCATTTGAGTGGTTGAAGATAAAGTTTGGGTTAATCTGCAGCATTCAGGACAAATAAAAACATGAAACATTTTAAATCATTGAATTTAAGTGATAAAACAACCTGATGAAGTCAAGACATTTTTCTTTTAAGATGTAAACTTTTATTACTCTTTTTCCTAAATATGTAAAGCACTCATCCTGTCCTGTGTCCAAATACTTTTTGTTTTCATTCTTTTAGATGACTCCTGATCCAAACAACATAAACCCTACAGACTCAGAATTTTTTAGATTCTAATATAAAGTTTTTTTTCCCTAAAAAGTTTTAAAACAACACGTTTGTTCAGAATCACAGAGTTTATATTTATAGAACTGAAGTTCAACTTTTTTATCACTGTTTGACAAATACTTGGAAAAAGAAACATTTCCAGGATGTCAGAAAAAAAACTAATTTTTTTTTCTCGAAGGTCTGAATAATTAAATTTGTTTGAAACCAGAAACCTGTCTGACTTTTACCAATAACTAATTCAGATTATATTGTATTACCTATAATTTGTTCTGGTTTGGGTTAATTTGGAAATTCTGAAAGTCTTTACTTTCAGTTTCTGAAAGTTTTTTTTTTTTACCAATGGGTCAAAAAATTTAATACATGCATCGTCTATTGAAGCTGTTTTTGTTTTTAAGATTTTAGTTTTTTTTAACCAAAAATGTCTGACAATTTTCCTTTTCTCACATTTAGAATGATTTTAAATGAGTTTATTGTTTCTTAATAACATCTGACATAAAATCTTCACTAAAAGAACATTTTAAAAAATTGAATCATTTACATTTTTTGTCACAATAAAAAGTAACATTATAAGGATTTCTTTAAAGTTATTTTCTTCATTTCTCCGAGAGTTTTGACCAAAAGTGAAAGAAATCTTAGATTTAAACGACTATTAAATTCTTTAACGAAAAGTTTTGTGTGCCAGTAAAGAAACAAAAACATGATTACTTTTGGAGATTTGGTTGCTTTGATTATATAAACTAACTTGAACAAAAGCTCAGATTTTCTTCTGATGTTTATTTTAAAAGATGTTAAAAACAATGGGTCCACATCATTTATTCACCAACACAACATGGTGGTGCACCGAGTGGGCCGAAGAATATCACAAATGACTGATAACCAGAACAGACTTGTTACCGTCAGAAAAAAAAAAAGGTAATAAATCAGTAAATATGCTCAATGGGATTACTTTTAAAGCAGGTAGTCTGGTGATTTTAGAAAAGATTTTTCAGTAATTAGTACTTTATAAGCATAGTAATTTAAAGTACCTTTGACATGCATATCTATGAAATCCAAAAAGCCAAAGAAAATATATTTATGTTAAGTCATTTTACCCATTATGCCACATAACTGGAATATTTTCTTTTAACATTTGAAACAGGAAGTGACATCAAAGGGGAACTCTTTGAGAAATAAAAGTCCCTGGACTTTATTTAAACAATGTTATTTGAATTTGGACTCTTTCTCATCTTTCTATGATAGTGATTAAAATAATCTAAAGAAACATCAGATTCTTCTCTACAGTCTGTGTTGTTAGCCATTTCAACAATGCTCTGTTCACATGCAGACATTCCCCTTTGACATCACTTCCTGTTACTTCACATGCAAATATTTCAACAACTTTTCATCTCAGCGGCATGAAATCTTTTTTACAATATGTTATCAGTGTTATTCTTCCAAAAATACATTCATTTTTGTTACAAAAATTTGATGCCACAGGCACTTTAATATCCATCTGATTTTAAGACTTTTAAACAGTCCTTGTCTCAGGTCACTGTCCCTCCCTGCCTAAAGTCTTCTACTATTGTACCACTGTTGGAGAAAAAATATTGATACCTGAATGACTACCACCCAGTGGCACTCACTGGTCATCATGAAGGGCTTTGAGAGAGTGGTGTGGAGTCATATCCTCGCCTGCCTGCCTGCTTTCTTAATTGGACCCTCTCCAATTAGCCTACAAAGCAAAGAGCTCCTTGGAGGATGCTGTATCTACAGCGCTTAACGCCGCTCTGACCCGTTTGGAGCAGTGGGGGTGCTATATCAGAATGCTGAGGACCTCAGCTCAACGTTCAATAACATCCTTCCCAACGTCTGGTGTCCAAGCTGGCAGATCCTCGTCTCCCATCACCTACTTGCAGCTGGATCCTGGACTTCCCAACAGGTCGCCCCCAGAGGGTCAATGGGTCCCCACACCTCCACTGCTCTGAGCCTGAACACCAGTTCGCCACAGGGTTGTGTGCTCAGCCCACTTCTCTACACCCTCTCTACACGCATGACTGTGTTTCCAACCATCTCCACAATAAGATCATAAAGTTTGCGGATGACCCGACTGTGGCTGGTCACAGGTGGAAAGGGGGAGTTGGAGTATAAAGAGGAGGTGGAGCGGTTGTCAGAGTGGCATAACGTCAATAACCTACTCCTTTTTTTTGGTCAAGGTCTTTTTATTAATTTTTTTAACAAACCACAAAAAAGAACAGACTTACAAAAACACAAAACAAAACACACACCCCCAAAACGCACACACCCAAAATCCCTCCCATCCCTCCCCTCCTATACCGGATCTACTGAAACAACCAAAATCGATCTAGTATTCATCAAATGATACAATGAACAGGTTTGTGTATAATGAAACAATATTTAACCTTTACACAAAATTATCTGCCGAAATTTTTTCTACATAAGAAATAAATGGCTGCCAGATGTCAAAAAATTTGTTTACAGATCCTTTAACAGTATATCTAATCTTCTCTAAAAGAATGTAAGACATAACTTGTCTTAACAAATGACC